AGTTTATAGGTATCTGTAGCTTTTTTTGATTTAACTGCTGCCTGTAGATCAGTACAAAAAAGTGTCAAATGTCATGCATACAATCTGATACAAGGTTTTTAAAGCCACGATTAAAAGAAAGCCTAGGATGATCTATAAAAAATACTCAGGAGCACATCAAAACAGTGGTCGTAACAAAATTGCACCACCAAGTAACTCAGATTCAAGCCATGAGAGATTTCTATTTAAAGCTATACATAAACCATATAAAAAGGTAGCAAAGCAACTACCTCATTTAAATCCCTTCCAGCAATGACTAATTTATAATATACTTATTTTGAAATCAAATTTGAATTGCTGAACTAATTAGCGCTTGTCAAATATTTAGATCTGCAACAGAAAACCAGGAAGAAAGCAGGGTTGGAATACAGAGCAGCTACTTGTGCAATTCTGAAAGAGTCAATGGTAAAAAAACCCAAGAAGGTGCAGTTCTCTGTTAGAAATGAAGAAATTCAAAAGTACAGGCATTACATCAATGGAAATTTTAAGATTAAGATTGAAAGTGAAGTTAATGCAGAACATACTGATGGCCAGATTTATGCAGCTCAGTGTTGTTTATAATAGTCCTTTCTGACTTTATAATTGATTGGGTTTTTTTTTTTCATTATTTGATATAAACCATTATAAATCATTATAACCATTATTTGTTATAAACCATTATAAAGCATTATAACATTAAACCAATATAAATCATTATAACCCAAAACCATCTTTCTGGGAGTTTAGTATTCTTAAAAGACAAAACAAAATACAGGAGAATCCCAATACTACATGGAGAACAAAACTGAATGAAGTGATTGTTTGTGGTAGAGAAAAGGTTATTTTCAAAGTTTACAGCATGACACATGAGACAGTTTTTCAAACCTTTGATATTCTTGCTATTTCCAAGTTAAAACCCAATGAAAATAAAAATTGTCTTGAACACCAGCTTTTTTTCTAGCTTCTTTGTTCAACATGCCTACTTTATCTCATTGAAATTTTCCATCAGTTGTAACTCAAAAGTATTCCTGAATTGTTAATGACATCAGTAAAGACAGCTGTGTACTTACTACTTGTTCTACTTATGAATAGCTCTCCTCCCCTCCTTCAAATTAATTTCATCTGTCCCACAGTAAAAACAGACACTATTTCTCACTTGCAATGACTTGTAAAGCTGACCACTATCTATAACCTTCAAATGAATTAATACGAAGATGCCCTCTGGAAAGAGAGAGTTATACTCTGCAATTTCCAAGAGACGAATAACTGAAAATCATGAGTAACAGTATAGCATTAGCACTTGTTCACCTGGGGAAACATGAACCAGGACTTCAGAGGAAGAGTAATGAAAGCTACAGTTCCATTTTCCCTGTTACAAAGAAAGCCTAAGCAAATCTTAGCCGCATAGCAGAGCCTGAAAATACTTCACTGTATGAAGAATATAGATCCTTAAAAGGAGAGCATGACAGGTTGTATCAAACCCATCAGTTAATTGTCCCGAATTTTACTTCATGATTCTCACTCTTGCACATTCACACGGGGGAATCACCAAGAAGAAAACAGTCCTATCTTGTTTCCCAAATGCCATTTACTACACTGAAAGTACAAGGTGCTCTGTGAACACTTGGTTTTAAAAATAATTAAGACTGCTTTGCAGTTAGATGATTCCAAACTTAAGTATTGAAAAAGAAGGAAATGAAAAGTTAAAAGACTTAAAAAATAAGTTTTTTCATAAAGCATTACGTAATTGAACCCCATATGCATGGGATTTTGACAAAACCAAAACATCCTCTGTCTCTTGTAATCATGTTTAATGATGAGCAGAATCTGAGTGTTATGTGCTGAAGAGCATCTACAAAAACCAACTACTCAGCAGAACAGACAAAATGACAAAACACGTGAACATTGTATGATTAACTAGTAAACTCTTCTGAAAACAGGATGTGTCTATTCTCAGGTGCAGCCATTGCTAGAAGTCTATCTAGTAGATTTACAGTAAGTGAAATAAGAAGGATCAGTCAAGAATTTTTTGTCAAGTCACTATAAATAGAGAAGTTCACATGCCAGAGAACAACAGGAAATTATTACACAAGTTAACACTTTCAGCTGCAATGAAAATTACAAGGTCTCAGACACCTCCTCAAATTCTTCAATAAAGTATTTCTCCAAATATTTAGCTTTGTGATAAGCTTTTAGCATATTGGTGCAGATCCCCTGCTTTTTGATAAAGTAGTTATTCTGTGATTTTGATAGAAAATATTTTTCATATTGTGCTAAAAGTAATAAACCTATTCTCTGCCAAAGGAAAAATAAACGAATACTATCTTTGTCACCATGTTTCTGAAATTACAACTGTAAATTTGAATAAAGACATGACTAAAGAGATGTGACTGTCACGGTTACCTTCTCCCACTGGAAACATGTTTTAAGTACTTGCTGAGCATTCAACTATGGCCTAATTGTTCAAACAGAAGTATATAGGGAAGATGCATAAAACAGTAAAAAATGGCCTTCATCATAGTGCTTCCTCTTTCTCCCTTCTCATGCAGACGTCAGTCAGACTGAACATTTTTTTGTTTCCAACTGAACAAGGACCATGTTACATCTTAAAAACAAGCCTTCCATCAAGTCCATTTTCCTACTGAAAAGTTTCAATCTATTTACAAGAACTCAGAAAGGCAGGAAAATGTCTGTCAACCCACGTATTTCTGATTCATATCTAGAATCCAACACTGACTGTCGCTTGAGACACAAGTTAGGAAAAAAAGCTAGATTTATAGCAGAGAGAAAACAATCAGAACATGGTCACCAGGATCACGTTTGTCATCAGTGAAAAGACAATAACCAACTCTATCTGCTCCATCAAGATAGCAGTACAAAAGGCACTAAGACCATTCTAACAAGAACAGAGTCCTACACAGATGAGGTAATTGAAATGGAAATAGGCAGAAGTATCAAGATTTAAAAAGAGAAGACATAGTTAGACAGGGAAACATGACCTCTTTCCTCTACTACTTAGTTTCCTGAAAACAGGAAAAAGTTACAGCGATGCCAGCAGGTCAAGGGAGGTGATCCTTCCCCTCTACTCAGCACTGGTGAGGCCACAGCTGCAGTACTGTGTCCAGTTCTGAGTTGTCCGTTGCAAGAGAGACATGGACATACTGGGGAGAGTCCAGTAAAGGACCACAAAGATGATGAAGGGTCTGGAGCATCTCTCCCATGAGGAAAGGCTAAGAGAGCTGGGACTGTTCAACCTGGAGAAGAGAAGGCTCAGGGGGAATCTTATCAATATATATAAATACCTGAAGGGAGGATACATAGAAGACAGAGCCAGGCTCTTTCCAGTGGTGCCCAGTGACAGGACCAGAGGCAATGGGCACAAACTGAAACACAGGAGGTTGCCCTCTGAACATCAGGAAACACTTTTTTTCCTGTGACGGTGATTGAGCAATGGAACAGGTTGCCCAGAGGAGCGGTGGTCTCCATCCTTGGAGATCTTCAAAAGCCACCTGGACATGGGCCTGGGTAGCTGGCTCCAGGTGGCCCTGCTTGAGCAGCAGGGTGGGACAGGATGACCTTCAGAGGTGTCTTCCAACCTCAGCCATTTTGTAATTCTGGGAAAGGATCAAACTCCCCCAAGACCCAAGGACAGTACTAAAGACAACATCAAGATACTCATCCCTTGGGTTTTTGGTCCATGAAATTGGAACCTTTTAAATTAGCGCTGAGAGTAATGTTAATTTGTTTTTCTTCTCAATGCAACAGACTTCAAATACTTGTGTAATTAGCTACTTTGTCTCACTGACGGGACAACACAAAACTTCCTACTCCTTAATTCAATAACAAGAGCATTGAGTGTTTGCATTTTTACCTAAGGAAATTTATCCAAAAACATAATAGATGCTTGTTATGGTTCAAACCCAGTCGGCAACTAAGCACCACACCGCCACTTGCTCACCCTCCCCACACTCCGGTGGGACAGGGGAGAGATTCAGAAAAAACGTAAAACCCGTGGGTTGACATAAAGACAGTTTAATAGGACAGCAGAGCAAGGGGGGGCGTGGCAGGGAAATGATAAAAGAAGATACAAAACAAGCATGCACGATGTAATTGCTCATCACCCACTGACCGATGCCCAGCCCGTTCCCAAGCAGTGGTCACTGCCCCCCTGCCAGCTCCCCCAGTTTATATACTGAGCATGACGCCATGTGGTATGGAGTAGCCCTTTGGCCAGTCTGGGTCAGCTGTCCTGGCTGTGCCCCCTCCCAGCTTCTTCTGCATTGGGCAGAGCATGGGAAGCTGAAAAGTCATCAACATTATTCTCACACTAAATCCAAAACACATCACTATACCAGCTACTAGGAAGAAAAATTAACTCTATCCCAGCCAAAACCAAGAAAATGCTGAAACAATTTTACACAATTTCTGTAAAAACCACTAAACAAAATTAACATATGATGCAGGTATTTACAAAATAAAGAATTAGAACTGCAGTGAAGTTAGAGTAGACAAGGAAATAGGTGTAACAAAAACATAACTAGGTATTCAAAATATCATGCACACTATGAAATAGCCACAACTACTACTTTAAACTACTTTTAGCCCTTTCTGAGCATTTCACTTACTAATACAAGGTGAACGTACTACTGATTGACAACACAATGAATTAAAGTAAGATGTTACAGAACTACCTTATCAACTTCTCTCTGTGTTGCTCCTTCCTTTTTCAAACGTTCCTGTTCAACACACTTTGCGTTGTAGTTTTCCTTTGATTTCTGTAAGGCCTGAGTGATACTTTGAATATTTTGCACTGCTTCCAATGTTCCTGAAACGTCATCTTTAGTCTGCCAAATATCACATAGTTGTCAAAAACCAAACCATTTTAATGTTAACAAGTCATTGGACATGCATAAGAAAAAAATTAATAACCTTTTTATAAGCTTTGATTTGTTCATCTCCATACTTGTGGACTTCTTTTATTAGCTCTTGTAATCTCCGCACAAGATCCAAGTGACAGCTTGCTAGTTTTTCTGTTGAGGTTTTGAAAACATCCCAAACTGGTGCAAATGTCCTAGATTGAGGAAAATAATATGTAATGTTCATCTGGATTTTTTCCTTTTAATTGGCTATGATTTTTTTTTAATAGTGCTAAATTATAATTGATAAGTTTACAGAAGTTCAGTTCTGTTCCTAGAACTGAAACAAACGAAACCTCCAACAACTGCTATAAATTCTTATTAAATATGTTTCAAATGTACTTGGAATCCTATCTACTAATTTTTCCATATTTTATGTTTTACCTGTATTGACTCTAGTGAGTAAAACACAGCAAAGTTCACTTAATCTTCTCTGTCATCAGCACACAACAATGACAAGTGATATTCCTAAACATGATGCAAGAGCAGCTCAAGATAATTTAACATGCAGAAGTATTTTTACATGTATACTTGAATAGTGCAAACAAATCAGAAATTACTTGGTTAGTTAAGTTTCTAGTTGTCTTACATTATTACAGCCACAAGATGCAGGAAAAAATATTGGTAAAGGTGGTCTGCCACTAAGAGGGATTTATTGATTAACAGACATTAACCGTATGGCAAAGGAAGGTGGTGGACAGGTCATTCCTCAGATTCAGATTTATATACTGAATGGACTTCTCCAGCTATTCTAAAGACACACTCCTACCTCAGTTTCCTGGTCAATGCTGCTGAAAAATCAATACTATCCATAGCCTTTAAAGCACTGATGTTCAAACTAACATGCAGATACAGAGCTTTTGAAGAGCAGCAACAACTGGTATCAAATTATCCACTGACGAAAGCTCCCCACATTTCTAGCTCTTATTACCACAAATAAAAAAAACACTAGCTTCATCTCAAAGTCTGTGCTGTTGGCATAATCTTTCTAATGAAAAAATATCCATTAATCATTCCAATTTTTAAAAAAACATACCCGTGTATAAAATTTTAATTAAACTATGGAATAAATCTATTGAAAAGTCTCATTCTTAACATCTCTGAGGACAGAGATAACACTCCAGAAAGCAGAAATAATAGAAAGAAATAAATTTACTGGACATTTGCGGATCATGCATTCTGTCTTCAGAATAATTACCATAGGCTTGGGAGCACAGAGTAGAAAGTCACATTATTATGTCTGAAAAGAACTCAACCTTAAACACAGAGGAATAGACAGTTCTTCTGTGTTTGGGTTTTGTTTTTTTAAACTGTGAATAAAGAACTGTACTGTCTTCTGTTTTTGTCATAGCTGCATGATATTTTGCATGGTTGCTGAAGAACTAACAAATCATTTTTAAAGGTGGCAAAGTTATGCTACCTTCAACATCATCAATAAAATATTCAGAATGAAACTTGATTCTTAACATCTATGCAGTTAATTACTTCTCTTATGTACACTTACTTACCCAAGTTGTGTGTAATTGCTCGCTGATTTGGCTAGTTTTGTCATTGATCTTGAATATGCCTCCTCTATTGTAGCCCTGTCAAAGAAAGCCATCAAAAGCATAATCAAAATCTTGAAGATATTTGAAGACAGATCAATATGCACTCTAAAGGTGCGAAACAGAGGACTTTTTACATTAGCTGAAAATGACTCAATTTTAATGACTCCTCAAAAATGATACAAAAAAATCACAGAAGTATATTTAAAAAAAAAAAAATTCTAAGAACCCTGTGACAGAATGTTGCAGGGAACAGAAACAAGTAAAATCTAGGGACTCGAGACTTAAAAAAGACAATTCCTTCCTTCCTATACTCTCTGCTGTTCCCCTCTGCCTTTCACATTCTTTAGTAACAGTCAGAACAAAGTGATATAACAATTACCAACCTAGCACTGCCTAAACATGAGAGATTTAGAGAGTGACAAAATCAAATATATTTGTAATGAAAACATTAAAATAAACTGAATGCTTATAGAGTAATCACATTAAACAAAATGGGGTCTTGTCTAGTCTTTTTGTAGGGGGGTTTTGGTGGGTTTGTTTGTTTCTCTTAAGTTTTTCCAAACTCAGATATCACTATGCAAAAAAGTAAAATAACATGCAATGAAAAGTATTGTGTTCTACTGTTTATATCCATTTTTAAAGAAGGTTGTCTCAATACATTCTGATTTATTTTGGATAATCTCTTCCCCACATAAAGTTTCATTATATTTTCCTGCACTCAATTATACTTGTCTTTTGGAGATTCAAAACCCGAAGGTCTGCATAGATTTCCTCCTTAAGAGCCCCTGCGGGGGCAATTGCCATGAAATAGCAGGTCACACACAGCATATCACAGCAGTGACTCCCTGCAAGTCCTTCCCCCATCAGTCTTCCTCACCCTCCTATTACTGAGGTAAAGATACACACTATTTTAATTTTCCACCCTAAATCGATATTCAGTATGCAGTGTCAACTTAGGTTTAGAAGCATTGTGGATTTGACTAAATACTGTAATTGCCTTTTCTTGAAAATGCAAAAGCTTGAAGCAATTTCTTTCCTGCTGTGCAATACCTTTACTCAGTGGCAAAAGAGAGAAAAAAAGAGAGAAGAATTCACCCCTCTCTCAAGTTATGCTATGACTATAACCACTTACTGCTGAGGCAGAGGTTTTTATTTCTCCTACACAGCAACACTTTACAAGAAAAAAGAATTTTCTTATGAAAATAGGAAACAAAGTAGCAGTAGACACCTGAAACAGCGGCGCATGTATTTAAAACTACTGAACTTCCAAAATAACTACCCAGTCAGTTGGACAAACAATTTGGGGAAGGGGATTAAACTGTAAAATGCAGTAACTCAATTACATTTTAAATCTCACCTACAAACAACTGTGAAGTTATTCACCATAAAAAAAGTCAAATAACTTTATCCTCCTTCCACATATGTAAGTATTTTTGATGATATGAAAAAGTTTAAGTTTCCAAGGTTTGGAATTCTTGCTCGCTGCACAGCAACAAGCACATATGCACAGACACCCAGAAGAGACACTGATGTTTTGTTAGTTACCATGATGAACTATATATTTTGATTAATTATCAATAGCTTCTATCACAGTTTTCTAGATTTGATAGCTCAGTGCCTGGTTTGGTTTTCTCCCCCCCCCCCCCCCCCCCCCCCTTCTTTTTTCTTTTTTCAGTTACTGACCACTTGGGCACATATATCTACATTTGTCCTATCAACTGACTTCCCAGAGCAGTCTGATGTACTGGTAGCACACTATGAATGCCTCAGTAAATTAATTTTCACCCATTTGAAAATCTGTCTTTGCTTGGGATCTGTTAAACCTTTAAAAGTTAAATGGGAATATATGCATTGCCAGTTTCTTTTGATCAAGGAGATTCTTTTTATGACACTTACAGGCAAGTGGTGCAGAAAAACATTTGAAAGACTTCTGGAGAAAAGCCAACACAACACCAATTCAGTTCCTAGCTGAACACAGTGTTTTCTCACATGTAAACAGTTTAGGTGTTAAATACGCACAAACATAAGAGAGTTCACCTACAAAATCTTCCCAGTATTTAAAGAAAAAAAACATGTGGGGGCAGCCCAACTTTCTTGTATTTTCACTTCTTTCAAAACAAAATTTCTACATGCTTTATCAAGAACAGAACAAAGACATCTATCTTTCAGCAGATGGACAGACAGATAACCTGCCTCACCTAAGATTTAAAAACATTGAGCAGATCGCCTGCCACAAAATTCACTCTTTCAGATGACATATTTCTGGACTACAGATCCAACTGCCTCTCAGTTCTTTTAGTACTTGACCATTAACAAATACTCAAAAACAAAAAGGAAAAAGTGAAAGAACACTGTTGAAAATTGAATTGGTATTGATTAACTGAACACAGCCAAGGAAGAAACCTGTTCCTTCTAGGGATATTCAGTTGGAACAGCAGACACAGTACAGAAATACTACATCATTACAAATGAACACATTTCAAACATTTTTGTTTTTTTCAGAGGAAACAACTTTGCAGTTTCAGAAGGTTCTTAGAGAAGTTTTGAAAGAAAAATCTTAAAAAAAAAAAATCTTTAAGCTGATTAAAATAAAAAAAAACCTAAACATTTTCCCATATGCTATACAATTTTCCTTTTTTTATTACTGTTTCCAAGGCTGGAGAAAAGGGAACAACAGACTCTTCCCCAATTAGGCTGCACACAACCAATACATTATTCTGGACAGTGCAAGTAACAGAAACTGGCTTCATACAGACATGTGTCCTTCGTGCCCTAAGCAGTCTGTACATCCAATTACACTCAAGCATTTTTCCTCTCTCTTTTAGATCACTCCATAAAAAAGGCAAATTTGCTGGCTAGCCTGGAGACTCCAGCAATCCTGACTCACCAGGTGACTACTGTCAAACTGCACATACAAAGGTTAAGTCCTCTAACTTGTTAAAATTATTACCACCAACTCAGATCTGTCTCCTCCACCTATCCAGCAGTTTTCAGTTTTCACTCTCCTATGTCTCCACTTCTGAGAAAAATGGCTGGTATGCTCAAAAGGAATGGAAGGAGAGATGCAAGGAAAGTTCAAATATATATAAGTTTAATTTTCATAGGGAACAGTTCAGAAAATCAGGTACATAAAAGTCAGGGCATAAAACTGCTAGACCTAGGAGGCTCCTAATAAATGTTCTTCACCCACTTACATATTTTTAACAGAAAACAGTACCGCAAAACAATATTCAGACTATACTCTGTGGAGGAAGCAGAGAAACAGATAATGGTCTACAACATCTCTTAATTTTTTTGCAGTAAACAAAGATGCAAAATAGAACATGGTCAAGATAACTGGACTGTTGTAAAATACTGTTGAAGTACTGCCTAATCCAATTTCTTTTGAGGTCAAGAATTTGACCCATGTGAATAAATGTGTTCTACTGAACCATATGTATCTCGGGGGAAATCAACTGACATCCCACAGTAACTTCACAACGGTAGTGAGGGGCTTCACTGCCCAGATACGGACACTTGTAAACATCTTTACTAAAGTGAGGACATGAAATATTTAAGGTCCATCTATTTCTTTGAAACTACAAACTATATGCCACAAACTACTCCTAGCTTATACTGAGATTGACCAGTGATGCACGCCTCACTTGAAAAGAAGTACCTATCCAGCATTCAACTGATTTTTTTACTGGCAGCCTGGCATACTGAGATGAATCAATAAAGCACAGCTGAAGAAAACACAATGGAACAGATAAGATACCAGGTTTAATATCCTGATGGGAGAAGGTCACTGGAAAGGACTGAACTTACTACTGCTGGTCTGCATCACTGACAGATGTTTTCCAATCCCAGGGCAAGTTGCTCTTAAGGAACTATACTGAAGCCTTGTCAAATAAATTAAAATGTAGCACTAAGATTCTAGTGAATCTTGGTCTGTTAATGAGAACTGAAATTTTCCACGTTTTACCAAAAATGCATAAGATGGTTGCCTCTCTCTTTGACACATCCTGATTCATGCATAAGAACAGAAAATATATTTCTTGATCTCTCATTGAGGATAAAGTGACCATGTGGATCCTCTCATTTATTCCCACATGGTCGTTAACCTTTGGTCTTAGATGTTATTTAAACTTGTTTAAAGGGGAAAAATATAATTGTCTCCTTTTTGACTTCAGCTGAAACATTTTTAATATGTGGAGAAAGGTCCAAATATTTTATTTATTGATTGCAAAGGCACATCTAATTTAAAATTTAATTTGAAGGAGCTGATTGAAGAAAAACCCAAGAATGCCACATTTTGTGTAGAAAGAATTGTCAAGTTTTATTTGTGTCACTATAATAAAGCAAAGAATCCAACCCAGATATAGCATCAAGTTGTTTTTATCCATTTGCATAAGACCTTTCACCCTAGGACCAGTATGAATAAAATGGAGCATGCCCAAAGAATACAACATAAAGGAGATAAGAAGCAGAGTGAGTGAGAGAGATCATTAGGGAGGTAAATCAAAATGTAACAGATGTAAAACTAATAAAATTAAATGCATCTAGGTGATGTACAGCTTAGGTCTATGACTTACTGCTGTAAAAACTGACTGATTCCAAGAATTAAAGCAGGTGTCAAAGGAAAGATCCAGGCACTCACAAAGATAACACAAGGCAAACATTTATAACAGTCAATATTAAAAGTGCAAGCTTGTGAAACCCTAAGCATTTTATACTAAACATGAACAGTGTGATATCCCTCTGCTCAGTCCAAACCAAGATTTCACTGGAACACTGTCTGGCTTCATAATGTACTCTCTGGAATCAGGGATTCTTGAAATGCAAGGCTCCTTGGTTTGTGTAGTCCTTCCAACAGGAGAGTGCCCATCACACATAGACTCTGCAACTTACCCATTTCTACTTAGTGGAAAGATTTCTGCCATTCTCTCCAATTCACTTCAAAACTATGCAAACATCAGTGCAACTGAGTACCTGCCGGATTTGTGGTGGTTACATTATGTGGAAACTAAAAAAAAAAAAAAAAAAAAAAAAAATCTTTGTTGAGATCTCTTTGAGGCCAAAACTGAAATTTTGATGAAAAATTCCAGAAAACAAAGGCTGTTTGTTTGGACAGCTTTTACTGCAAGAAACCTTCACTGAAACAGGTCCTCAATCAGTCTCTTGCAAGTTTTTTCCATGCATCATCTGGTGTCAGTAACTGAATTAAGACAAAATTCTGAAGCAGACATATAATTAATTTTGTCCAGAATGGAAATTCTTATGTTCAATGTAGCAGCAACAGTCTTCTTTCACAAAGAAGAACTAAAAACAGCACTAGGTCATCTGTTCTGGAAGTTGTCACATCTGCAGATTTCAGTTCTATCCCTTCCATCCCACAGAGAAGAACCTGTGTTATTTTCTACATATTACTTTCTTGTCCCTACATATCACTCTTCTCTTTAACAAGCCTGATTTCTCAACATCTTAGTCTGAAAGTATATTTTTTTTAATATCATTAGCAGTTGCTAATACCCTAATTGTATACTTATGGTCAAAAACTTTGTAAGACTGGTAATTTCTGCTACTTTAAATTATTGCTTTCCTTCCAAACATAATGAAAAATTGGGATTAATTTAAATAAACTGCTGTGCACCTAATATGACACTTTTAGCTTTTTACTCTTGCTTTTTAATTCAAACCTGAAACATTAGAAGCTTGTTATTAATTGATGCATAAGAGTCACTATTCAGTTCTAAGTAAATGGAATAAACCTAGATATTCTTGTAGGATATAAGAGATGTTTTAAAATGCTTGTTCATTTTTACATGTTTATGTTAATGTTAAACATAATAATAAACTTACACTGCTTGTGGTTTTAATTTATTAAAGAGCCAAGATTACCAAGGATGAACTTACCTTTCCCTTATAAAGTCTGCTAAGTCTTTTGTTGAAAAATGTCCGTGTTTCATGTTGTGATAGAGGACATCAAAGCCATTGTTCCTTTCCCCCTAAAGATTAATAAAAGGAAAGTAGAACTATGAAACACAACACGCTAAAGCAATTGCAGAACAAAGCACAGAACCTATGCATTTTAGTAACTGATGAAATTCCATGAAGCGAATGATTTCTAGTGCTTCAGCTTTTTACCAATTGCTGTTAGCTCCCTTCATGTCAGCAGCTACTACCACCCTTTGAATGACAACTTTTCCATTACATATTTCTAGGCTATATTCAAAGCCATTTCTTTTCTAGATTTCTACAGGTCTTGTATTCTTTCACTTCCCATCTTATTAAACACGTACTTAATATTGTACTCTGTCTTCATTCTCTCATATCTTTCATTATTTTCCATGAACTAAAATTCACACTTTGGGATCACTGGATATCCTGCCTCGCCAGTTCTTCACACTTCATGTATCCTCCTCTGTTTTTTGTAAAATTGGTAAAAAAAAACAAAAAACAAAAACCAAAACCAAAATAAACAAACCAAAAAACCTAATCTCTTCCTTCTCACAGGTAACTCCCCTTTGTCTATTCTTAAGTTTAGTTTTAAAACTTAAAACGTTTTCCAATGAGTAAGGTGTACCTCACCATTAAAACTGAGACAGAGCCCTAAACACTCATTAATAAACTCAGCCAGCTTATCACCTCTGGCACTGTGATGAACTTCCCCTGGGCAGGAGAAAGCAACAATAGAAATGAAAGGAAGGCAAGGCAAGGCACAGCATAACAGCACTGCTACTACAAAAGTTTTCCTGTCAAACTATCCATTCCCCTCCTCCCTTCCAAAAGCTTCAGATCCTAACATTGCTTCTATAAAAGACACACAAGCACGTCCTCAGGAAAACTGCATGCATGTTCAGAGTGGAAGGGAAAGAAGGATGGGAGGCAGTATCCTGGACTTTTCACAATGGCACGTCTACATCTCCAGCAGGAGGAGCCTGAGGATTTAGTCATACACCCCTCCAAACATTTCCGTCCTTTTTGCCCTGGAAAAATTTGTTTGCACAGCTATAAGGTGCACCTGATAGGGGAAATTATACAGCTGAAAAATAAAGCTGGCAAACAAAAATAAAGATCAGTGATCCAGATCACTATGAGGACACAAACAGCTGCACTGCTCAGCAGAAGAGGTGGGAGCAAGGAGAAGGTGGCAGGCAAGGACCTGGCAGCTTAAGTAAGTGGAAGTAGCCACGGGTGGATGGGAGAGCTTTGCAGCAGCCGTGGTAGTAGGCCCACTACTGTGAAGTGTTAACTGCACCAGATAATACATCAGTCATCAACAATACAGCAAGTTGCCTTAAAGGACACCACACATAGACACATAAATTTACAAATAACAGACAACTGAAGGCAATTTGATTCAGATTACTAGCCAGAATCAGCTGCTTTACTTCTTCCAAGCATTGGGGAAAACAAAACCAAACCAGCAAAAAGAAAAAACATAGTTCCTAAAGTTGCACTAAGTTGTAACCCAACGAAGTTAATCAAAATGCAGATCAGTTTAGTGTAAGTGCAATTACAGAAGGTCTGTACAAGCAGAACTAAATTAAACACATGAAAATAAAGCAAACTCTAAAAGAATGATCTACAGAGCAAGGCTTTTATAAGTTTGAAAAATAAAAGAAAGATAAGAACACCACTTAGGAGGAAATGTAGTTTATTTTTTTAAATGTTGTCTTTCTCTTTCAAGTACTAATCTAAACAGTTTTACTCCCCTTTCACTCCAACCTAACCATTTTTCCTTGTAGTCTGAAGGCCACAATAATTTTGACTACTGGTGCACTAATAGGTAGCTTATTAACTTTCTGGATTTACTCAATATAAATCCTGGATGTCACCACAATTCATAAACACCAGAATAACTCTATAATTAAGACCCCACCAATATTTTCAATTAGAATACAAAATAAAATTCTTATTTAACTATTCCAAAGTTGTTACTGTACCCAAATTTGAAATAAGCGTTAGGCATTTCTTTCAGAAAAACTAATAAAATTCTCATTTATGAAATGTTCCTTCCCTTCGCCTTAACATGTTTCTTCTAGCTAAACCAACACATTGATCAAAATGTGCTGAACACAGACTGCTTCTGAACTTTTAAAAGCAACTTTTCATAATGGGAGCTTTAATGGGGACTTTTCTACACTGGAGCTCCGTAAGTTTCCTGCCACTTTAGAAATACAGGAAGGGTAGCATAGCCATGACCCAGCCTCTGGCTGCAGCCTTCCTGATGGCTGATAATCTACCAGAAATGTAACTTTGCAAACCTTTAGAAAATTAAATGAGCCAGAGCAACCAATTCCCATCATCATCTTGTTCCTTAACTGTAACTTAACTGGAAGGTTACTGCAAAGTAACTTGTTTTTCCACTTAAATGAAGTTTTCTAATCAGTCCTGCTCTTGTTCTTGACTTTGCATTGAATAGCATAAAGCACAACAGACACTTTCCTCAATTAAAAACATCTCCGGAAAGCCACATCTTTTATACATTATTGATAGTTATCAGAGGCTAGGAGGCTATGTGAAAAATATATTAAGGTTTAAACAAAGCAGCAAGTCCAAAGCAGACTCCCAGATTTGAGGGCCTATGTGGTTTAAGCTTGGCACAACTAAAAGACATGTTTTCACTTGTGACTGTCATGCCAAGTGCAGCCTAACTTACCAATACCAGGCTCTACCTATAAGCACAAACATCTACACTTCAAAACTGTTCAATAATTTACATGATCAAGACTTCTGATGATTAACCTGATGGCTATTCTATAAATAATGTTACCTTCTACTTGTGTTTGGAGACATACGTGTACCTATGTCAAATTAAGTATGGTATCTCAGTGCAGAGAGCTGACATTTTTATGCTTAGGAAAAACTATACAGCCTATCCACAACTCCTTCATTCAGTAGTTATTTTCATGAAGAGTAGCTCAAATAATTCATATAACGAACATCAGAGTTAAAGCTCTGTGTTTAGGATAAAGGCAGAGATGTATGCTGTGGCTAAGAAGAAAAGCAGTTCAATTTACAAAGTACGTGTCCTCTTACATGCACATATGCCATCAACACTGTTCATTTATGTTTTGGTTGTTTTTCCTCAACACTGCCCCTCTCCATACACATTGTATAAAATTCTGTACATGGAAATTGTGTGTCTAGCCAATTTTTCTTCATCCAATGTTTTTCCTCCTCCTTCCTGGTGGCAACAGTAATAGCTGTGATCACTAAAAGCTCCGTACTGGCCTACTTAAAAATAAATAAATGCAGCACATAGCAGACGGAACTGATGAGACCTTCCACTCCCTTTCAGAAGCAATTACCATCCACTGCTATGACAGACAGACAGTGAAGTCAGATGCAGGTTCTTCTAGAAGTTCCATATTGGAGAAAGAGGAACCTCTGTTGTCACATGTAACATCAGGTTCTATGCAACAGACTTCCGGATCAGTTTGAAAGACCATTCTGAATGTCATTTCACAGGTAAACCACCATCTATTGAGGATGATCCCATCATTACGCAACAGAAAACAACTGTAAAACTGTGTACAAGAATAAAAAAAATGAAACGGTACCCTCTCCATATAGGCTATATACTTTGAAGTTCATTAGCAGTTTTCTCCCTCTTCCCTGGAGCTAACAAAGCTCTCTCTTCAGAAGCTGGTGTTCTTGTCGAGGTTTCCCATTTTACATTGCAGTAAGAGAGCTCTTTTTTGCACATAGTGTAGATATCTCCTGACAGCAAGCCATAAGAGGAAACAAGACTTCAAATAAAAGTAAACTTAAATAAGCCTACAATGAGGCATTACTGACCAGCTTTGCATACAAAATAAATTAAAGTCACAGAAAGCAAGGGCAAACAGACCTTCAATTTCCCTTCATCAAGAACTAACTGCAACAATTTTCTCATGGAAATGAAAGTAACCATGTCAGCAAATATGAAGTCAGAATTCAGCATTTCCATGACTTGTGCATAACAGGAAACAGATTACAGGAACTGTTTTACTTAACTACTTAATAGACTTTGAAAACTTTTAAGAATAATCTTGTTTGTTGCATATAAAGATGATTCTGAATTTAAAACCTACATTTGGTAAAGCAGCCAGAAAATTCTGGGCAATCTGCAGAAGTATTTATTTCCTACGTTTCTAATCAAATTGTATGCGTGCAAGCTCTGCTTCCTATGGACTAAAACTGTTCAACATTGATGTCTATTAGTGTAAGAAGTTAATACTCTCTATTACTTTATTGAAATTAAAATTGGCCAGAGATGTCAAAAACTACAAGAAAGGGTTCTTCAGGTATCTGAACAACAAGCAGAAACAAAAGGAAAATATTGACTTACTGTTAAACAAGAGAGGTGAGTTAGTGACCAACAACGCTGAAACGGCAGAGGTTCTCAACCCTTTCTTCACCTCTGTCTTTATGAGCACTGTTGGGCCCCAGGCCTTGGGAACAAAAATCCAGGTTGATGCAAACAGAGATCCACCATCAGTGAAGGAAGAGTTGGTATTTGAACTATTACAGGAGCTTGACCCCTACAAATCATTGGGCCCTGACATGATCCACCTGAGGGCGTTAAGAGAGCTGGCTGACGTCATTGCAAGGCCGCTCTCCATACTCTTTGTGAAGTCATGGAGATCAGGGGATGTCCCAGAAGACTGGAAGCAGACTAATGTCACCCTCATCTACAAGAAGGGCTTAAAGAAGTGTCCAGGAAATTATAGGCCCATCAGCCTTCCTTCAGTCCCTGGGAAAGTTACGGAACGAATCCTCCTGGGGGCTATCACAAGTCAAATGAAGCATGTGATTGGGAAAAGCCAGCACGGCTTCACCAAGGGCAAATCATGCTTGACAAACCTGATCACCACCTGCAACAAAGTAACCTGCTCGGTTGATGTGGGATGAGTGGTGGACACTGTCTACCTGTATTTCTCCAAAGCTTTCGATGCGGTTTCCCACAGCCTCCTCCTAGAGAAACCGATGTGTTACGGTCTAAACAAGTGGTCTGCGTGGTGGGTGGCGAGCGGGCTGACAGGCCACACCCAAAGGGTGGTGCTAAATACCTCCTTTTCAAACTGGCAACTTGTCACAAGTGGGTTCCCCCAGGGACTGATATGGGGCCCAATGCTGTTTAATATCTTCACAGGTAATCTGGGTGATGGGATCAAGTGTACCCTGATGAACTTTGCCACTGATACCAAACTGAGTGGGGAAGTGGACACTTCAGAAGGGAGAGCCACCCTGCAGGAAGACCTGGGTAGGCTGCAAGAGTGGGCTAACCGGCACCTTATGAAGTTCAACAAGGACAAGTGTAAGGTCTTGCACCTGAGAAAGCATAATCCAGGAGTGCAGCATAGGCTGGGATCCACCTGGCTGAGGAGCAGCTCTGTGGAAAGGGACTTGGGGGTCCTCGTGGACAAGAAGCTCAGTATGAGTGAACAGTGCACTGCTGCGGCAAAGAAAGCCAACAGGATGCTGGGTTGCATCAACGAAGGCATCATCCGCAGAGGTACAGAAGTCATTATCCCACTCTACTCAGCACTTGTTAGGCCACACCTGGAATACTGTGTTCAGTTTTGGTCCCTGCTATGCAGAAAAGATGTGGACAGGCTGGAGAGGGTCCAGAGAAGGGCCACAAAGATGACCAAAGGCCTGGGAAGCCTGCCACATGGGGGAAGGTAATAGGTACAAGTTACTCCTGGGGAGATTCCTATTGGAAACAAGAGGAAAATTTTTCACAGTGAGAACCATCAGCCATTGGAATAATCTTCCCAGGGAAGTGGTGCAGTCCCCAACAGTGGACACTTTTAAGACTCAGCTGGACAGGGTGCTGGGCCATCTTGTCTAGACTGTGCTTTTGGCAAGGAAGGTTGGACCAGATGATCCTTGAGGTCCCTTCCAACCTGGTATTCTATGATTATAGCACTGTCTTTTTACCCAGTATAAATGTATGTTTCTCAATTATTAAGGTGATCCTGAAGTTCCCATGACTGGTCAGATACGTACTAGTTGATTAGCTAGTGTGAGACGCAAGAAAAGGACAGCTGCGCATAATGTTTTCACAGCAAAACTAAGCATGTGAGACAATAAAAGGCACATGCAGTTCTTAAACCATTTTGATTTTGGCCAAACCTTAGAGACTTGATGAGAGAAGTTCAGACAAAGTTTGACTTTTTCTAACTAAGTTCAGCAAGTAAAGAAACATTTGACAATAAGTGAATTACTGTCATTTCAACCTACGCTTTTAGACCATGCATTAGCAGCAGTTAAACACGCATGACCATTCCTTCAACCCTTTAAACATGACCACATTACCACATTACAAAGAAGAAATGGAACAGACTGAGAAAACTGTACTTTTGGTTATAAACGATTTAAGTCATAACCTGATATATCAATGAAATATGATCAACATCCCCACACCTTGTTAGATAAACACTAAATAGGAAAAGCCTAAAAAAGAATGAATGTGGGAAAGAGAATCGCTTCAGTTTTCGGGGTGAGAATAGAAAAATTTTTGTTCTTTGCCTCTTGTTCTGGTCAGGTCCAGAGAAGCTGTCCTACAGCTAGTTTTATACTTAAATTACTGCTCCTGCTCCTCTGTCAGATATGAGTATGGAAAAACCATATCCCTAATCAACAGATTATGCATGCAAGTATCCTAATACAGATAAATCATAATGGCATCAAAGGCTTTTTGGTAAAAAAAAAATCTATCAAGAAAATTCCAGAGTTGCACTGATATGCCAAACTCCTTTTAGATGCTCTAAAAAACATCGTTGCCATTGTCTGTTACTCCTTGTTGCAGTTTCAAATAAGTATTGTGTTTAATCTTTTCCATAGGGGCAATTATTTAATGTAATGGTCCCGTATACATGAAAATACTCCTGTGATTAGTATTATGGTGTTACATTTTTGCAAGTTAGATATCAGTAAATTTCAATTTCCGAGCGTCTGAAAGAGCTACAGCAAATGGAGAGCATCGAAACATGGAAAAAAAGCAGTCACCTGATGTTTACACAGGCAATGTATCTTATTCAGTTCTGAAAGTTTTGAGAAGTTTGAACACAAAAGCAACCTGGCAATTTCAATTTCCTTCTTCCAGCGTCAATAAATTAAATAAAGATCAGCTCCAGAGAAGCTCTAAGCATATGAGGAAGGAGAGATATCTTCCTCTGTATCTAGATAATCAAAAATATTGTTTGAACAAAGAGATGGAAAGTTGTCAACTCATTCTAGATGTACACACACAGAGGGAGGAGACTAAGCAAATATTGCACAACAGCTCTCCTGAAACAGAGCATCTAGCTGTATGCCAAGCAGAAGAGTAGCACTGCATAAACATATGAATGGAACTCCAGATGGAAGCATGACAAGTCTCAGCGTCACTCATATCACATAAGTGCATAAGACAATAGGTCTTACACTTACTAGAGCAAGCCTCTTCACAAAGCTAAGGTTACGAACCCTGGACACCGCCAGCCTGTACATGTTACAAAAGCTCTTGAAAGGAAAGGGTTCCTCCTCACAGCCATTCTCAAAAGCTACAGGTAACACAAGCAATTAAAAAGATAAAATAAAAGGAATTAATCAAAGCCTATTTAAACACAATTTTTATATCCCAGAACTTCCAGAGTTACCAAGCACAGCAGTACGCAGAGACCAGTTTCTGCTATACATAGCACTTCCAACAGTTTAATCAAATTAGTTTAAAACAATTAATACATAAACACTGACTGGCTTAGAAGTGGCTTATTTTTGTTGACTTGACATAGTTTAACAGACTTACAATTAACAAAAGTGTCACCTGCACCAGTCAGTTTAAATACAATGTCAAAGCTTATGCAACACTTCCTAAGCAGTGCTAAGAAAACAGTAAGCCAATGGTAACAAATGCTTTCTATTCTACTGTACCAGTATGAGTGTACTCAAAGCGACAAAACGTAGCTATGTATAACTGAAATAACTTATGAAAGTGTTCCCTTTAAATCACGTCATTGTTTTGATGTAGCACATACATAGCAGCAAGCACCCAATGTTTTATGACAACATCCTAATTAGGAGCTGGGAATGTTTGGCCACGTGACTTGAATGCCTGAAACTCAGTCATAAGAATCAAAGCCATTTATAGCCTGTACTACTAGTTCATAATTTTTGATACCACAAAAAAAGTAACTGTATCCTGCTGACTTTGAAAACTGCTGCTCTAGAGTGCTGTGGTCTATTAGCAGACCCCTACATTTTTGGAGTGATAGTACAGGTCTCTGTACTTCAACTTTGCACATCCTCAAAATAGTCTTGCTTATCTCTCAGTGACCTCTTAGAAGCAGTCAACAGATCACAGACCCATAAAACATCCATTTTTCTTGCATTGTTTAAAAAAAAGAAAAAAGATTGCAACTATTCAAACACTTTTAAAAGCAGTACGAGATGAAAGTCTCATAATAAGCTTCAGGACTATTACAATAAAGAAGCTAAGATTTGATTTGTTTACATGTTTGCTTTCAGGAAGTTCTTAAAGGACAGCAGCCTAAATAGCGTGTAAGAAATTGATACACATTCACATATATGTCACTTCCCCTTCCAAAAGAAATCAGTTAAGTCCCTCAAGTTTCTGATGTCTTTTCCTATCAGTTACAGCAAATTACCAAATCAGGAGAGAGCATCCTACAGCTCAAGATCCAGACTTCCATTTCCAATACATAATTTCAGCTGCAAATTGACGACAGCGTGTACATCAAATTCAGCTGCAAACTGATGACAGCGTGTACATCAAATAAATAGTAATTATGCTTTGGATTAATTTTCACATCAGTGCTTTAGAAGGTACAGTTATCCCATTCCACCATTTTGCCTGGTGTTACCTAGAAGGGCAAGGCAAAAGCAAGAAATAGAAGACAATCCTTGTAAAGTTCTACACAATACCACCATTCTTTCTCCTTATGGATTTCTCTTTGTTATTTTTAGTCAATATGCATTCAGTGCATTTTAACAGCAATCTTCTAATTTCCGTCTTAACTTTCTTACCACATTTCAAAGCATACATGGATTGTACCCCAAGTCTTCCAAAGCACTGCAGTAACAATTCTGAACAATAACCTATTCTGAAAAGTTAGTAGAAATGGAGAAGCCTCATGATTCAAATATGCACAAACCTGTAACTTATGCTTGGTTCTGAGGACATACAGAAACTCAATGTGTTCTGACTTTAAAAATCCATCATATTTAGACACTACAGTTAATCTTGAAAGATACTCACCCACAACAGCAAAGAAGAAGCAGTTGCCATTCCTTTTTATTTTACTTCTACACAAAATAAAACCCTGTCCTGGGTATTACAAGTTTCTCAATCAAGTTTTGCAAGTTTAAGACCCTGTGTGATGTCTTTGTCATCATTGCAAGACAAACAAGAAGAATACACTTGTTGTCCTACTTTGTGTCATTTTTGGAGGCAGGAGAAAAACCTGCACCAACAGAAGAAAACTTCCTTCTCCTGGCACTCCTTGCTGACCTACACTAGGACTTTTGCCAATAGAGCTATAAGGCAGAAACTTTGTAGAGTAGAAAGAGAGAATGGTAAGTTTGGGTAGATGTCTACTACCTCATATTCGCTGGTAGCATTCGTGAAGACACAGCCAGTGAAAAGAATGTATGGAAACAGCCCACTGCCTTCACCGATTTAACAAAATTATTGACTGACTAACAAAATAAAATACAACTGATCAGACAAACAGTTAAATGAACATAGTTAAATAGAAAAGTGTTTGATTTCAGTTGAGATAGCTGAATAAAAAACTTCTATTTTACTTTAATCATAGGAGGAGACAGTAACTTTTTGAATGAAAATGTGACTTTTTATATTAATTTAAACGTTATTTCTACGAATGATAAAAAGTTTCCACATATTAGTTTAATACTGATCTGCCACACCGAGGCTTCAAATTAAGCAGATTTGTATGCCAAGAGAGCAAATCTAATATCTTGTTTCATTAAATTTTAATATTCTGTTGAAAGCAAAACTTGGAGAGTCAATATTAAACACAATGCGGCAAATAAAACATGAAACCTGGCTGGAGCTATGCTTTATATTCAAGAACAGTATGTTGTATTTGTGAAATTAGTTTTCCCTAAGTGTCAAGGATAACTGTTGCTTACACAGAAAAAGCAGACATCTAAAGGATATTTTCTCTTTTTTTTTGTTTCAGTCTCAACAAATAACCATTTATATGTTTCCCCTATTAGTCGGTGGAGACGCACATTAAAAATGAAACATGCAACAAAGAAGTAGCAACGTTGTAAACAGCCCGATGATTCCAAGAAGACTTACTTTAATGTTTCAAACCAGCTACGGTCACAATGAAAACAAGTTTCATTTCGCGGGAGGCTCAATAACAACCCAAATCCATCTTTTAATTTTTTTCTCCATTAGTTACCCACTTAAAAGCACATATACCTGGCGCAGAGACGACTGATAAATTGGGCTTATAAAACGGACTGGAAAGCCTGTTGTGTCCCCAGCTGGCTGCTGTGCAGGCTGTACCTTCTGACAAGCAGACAGGCGCGAGTTATCGCTACAAAAGCGTAAAGCTCCGAGGGGCGCAGCTTTGCGTTTGCGTGATGCAACTGTTGCGTTGCTGCCGCCGGTGCCGTTCCCCCGAACAG